GAGAGAGAGAGAGAGAGAGAGAGAGAGAGAGAGAGAGAGAGAGAGAGAGAGAGAGAGAGAGAGAGAGTTGAGATTGATGGACGTGGATTTGCAATTTTCTTTGCCTCTTCTTTTCCTTCCGCTTTGTAAATAAGTTTTGATTTCGGCTCAAGCGATTTGTTCTCATTTCTCTTCGGCACATCTGTTTCGATACTGGTCCTTGTATGATATCTCATTTTGTCTCGGTCTTCCCGCTTTTGCATGTATGGGATGGACGGATTTGGATGGAGTAATATGTTTGTTATTTTCGCGTAGTTGTCGTAATTGCTTTCGTCATTGCTTGTCACTTTGATCCGTTGTTGATCTGATGTTGCTGCGATGACTGATGTGTAATGACACCTTGCATGCTTGGAAATGATTGCTGAGTGATTAGATGATTGGGTAGCAACCTGGAGAGGGGACGATTTTCTTTGCATGAGGGATTAAGATCTCACTTTGGTATCCAATAGGGCAGGGTGCACGCAAACACCTCGCGTGGATACTCGTAAGCGCGATCGGAATTGCGCGGCCTACACGTGTCCACGCGCGGCGATTCGCGTTCACTAACTATACCGCAATGACAAGCTGTCGGACACATGGGACCCGGAGTACTTCGAGCCTTGGGTGAGAGAATGTATTAGGCAAAGACACCCAGAATTCCCCTGCCTAACCGAGAATCGATTGTGTCCCAGGGAGTTACACTGTGCCATAACCAGCGATCCAAGATGCCCCGATTTTCCCACTACGGATAACTCGCAATACTTCATATCCCCCGGCTTCGCCACCAATTTCCCTCCCTTCCGTCTCCGCCTTCCATATCACCAACTCACAGTGGTTCCGTGGAATTCCATTGCCCCGTATTGGCCCCGCACGCCTTGCAGAAATTGCAGGCGACGCGGCAACCGACGAGCCTCTGAAACCACGGGGCCTAACCAAAACGCGCGACGACAGACGCCACGTGTCTGCACCCGAAAGTCCGACTCATCGGAATCACAACCATCCCGGGCGGGCTTCTCCCCGAACCGCCGCCACCAAAACAGACGGATCGGACGACCCTGAATGCACCACGCACACCATCTGCCTTATGATGCACAACCTCGACCGCCATCAGACCGGAAGTAACTCGCCCCTTCAGCTCTATTGCATCTATGCCCCTGAAACCTTGCCACAGGAGATCTCAGCTCTGACCTGGGACTCCACCCCCACTTTCCCAAAAAATCCTTGGCACACCCCTTTTCGCACTTCCAGGCCCACATCCCACTCCGATCAGGAAGTCGCGCCGGGCGTGAGGTTGGGCGTCACATCATCATGAGCTCTGTTAATGAAGTTGAAGTGATCTTCACTGATGCAGATGTTGTATTTGTTGTTGATGTCTCCAGCTCAGCCGTTGTTGGCATTGATGAGATCTCGGTCGTTATTGTGTGTGTTGTTGCCGCCAAGGCTCCTTCAGTAGGTTTTTCGGCAGGGCGTGTCATCAACTCAGCACACACCTTGTCCCCTTCTTCATAGAGCTCATGGCAATGGTGTGTGAGTTCATCCGTCGTCTGCCAGTCAAGGAGATGTGCCCATAGTTCGTCAGGCCCCTCTTCTATCTCCCAAAGCACGTAGAGCATTTGTTGTAGCATGCCCTTCAGCCATGAGGTCATTGAGATTGCCCCCCGACCAACCTCTGACCAATCTTGAGCTGTGGAAGATGAAGAAGCACCATCTCCTGCAATCGGCGGCGGCCATCCTGCAAAACCAAAAGCCAAGAATCCGCAGCGTGTTGTAGATCCCCGTTCGAAGCCATCTCCATCTCCTTTCGCCTTATTGCGTATCACCGCAAGAGCGCCCTCGCACTGTTGGTCCCGAGGTTAGTTCACCTCGTTTTCGCTTCCTCCCTCGCAACGCACGAGCTATGGAACCATTTGTGCCCTCCTCACCGCCCCACCTTGCTCGGTCGTCGCGAAAGCTATTGCGTCACCAACATGCTCAGTCAAACCTCGGTAACTCCGAGGGCATTGGGTCGTGAGACCGCCGGGCCCGCCGGCCGGTGCGCTCCCCACGCGCTCGCGTGTCCTATCCTGCTGAGGCCAAGACTCAGCTTAGGCTCCTGGAAACCGGGTCCAGTGGAATCTCCAAAAATAAAAAATTGTAAAACAATTCTGTAGCAGTGTAACATCCTTACTGCACTGGAAAGACGCCCGCATGTTTCTAAGATCGAAACACTATTGGCAAAGAACTACGAGCTATAAACTGCAAATCTCAAAATGCACAAGGCAATTCACGAAAATTTTGACAATTTAACCCTAAGATTATTTCCGAAGACAAACTAAATTCTTAGATACAATTCAATTCCAAAATTCAACCCAAGTGCATACTGAATTTAAAACTGGGCCTATTGGTATTGTCTGCAGAAAGTGGAAGTCTACAAACTCTCAAACTAAAGGGACACTCTCAATGACTAAGAGCTGGGAAAGAAAATTAAACATTAGGGCTACCCTCTCGTCCTTGACAGGTTTCCACCATGCACCCAGTGGATACAACACTAGTTTGCTCTTCACCGGGTCTCTCGTATCATCCCAACCCTATGAGTATCACCCTAAATCCCTGCAACCATACCCCAGCGCTTTAAGGACATCAAGAATCTGTGAGTGGTCATGAACTTCTGGAGAATTGCAACATCAAACACAGCTCCCAAGTGCTAGCCTCGGCGCTAAAACGTGAACGGCACTGTGGCACCAAGCGCGGTTATGGATGGCAGTTGTCTTACCTTTCGCGCCCGGGGAACGTTCGCACCGCCGCTAGTGAGTCTCCCACTCCCGCTGATGGCGCCGCCACCCATAGGGCTTCGGGGCTTTTTCGACAGTCAAACTTCCGTGCATCTACAAACTATCAAACTAAAGGAACCATCTCGATAACTAAGAGCTGGGAAGGAAGACTAAGCATTAGGGTTACCCTCTCATCCTCACTACCCAACACGCTGTGAAGAGCCTTTGTTGCCAACACGGGTTTCCCACCACGCACCCAGTCGATACAACTCTAGGTTGCTCTTCACCGGGTCTCTCGTATCATCCGAACCCTGTGAGTATCACCCTAAACCACTGTAAACATACCACAGCGCTTAAGAATATCAAGAATCTGTGAGTGAACATATACTTCTTGGAGGATTAGAACATCAAACAGAAATCCCAAGTCCTAACCTCGACGTGAAACCTTCAAACTACGTTGCAACGAAAAACTACACAGAATCGTGGACGACAAAGCAAATCCAAATACTGCGGTCTCATCCCTTCATCCTATTGATTTCCAGATTCTACCGTAGGTATGTAAATGATACAGATGTAAAACAGAAGCAGTTCCAAATATCTACTACATAGACAACTCTCCAGAAGAGATAAAATACCCAATCAAAATTCCATAAATCTACCAAATATCAAGCTAAAGGGACAATCTCAATGGCTAAACGCTGGGAAGGAAGAGTAAGCCTTAGGGTTACCTTCTCATCATCCCTGACCAAAACACTATAAAGATCCTTTGTTGCCTTGACGGGTTTCCCACCACACACCCAATGGATACAACTCTAGTTTGCTCTTCACCGGGTCTCTCATATCATCCCAACCCCGTGAGTTTCACCCTAAACCTACTGCAAACCTTCCCCAGTGCTTAAGAACATCTAGAAACTATAAACGGACATATACTTCTGAAGTGAAGTAAATGAACAACAGACTGCCTTGCGACGAAAAATATTCAACCGAGACTTGCGGAAGCCTTTGAACATGCAGGAGCTCTGCCACCGCAACCGCTCTCCCACTGCGTCCAGATGCGCCGCTCCGCCTTCCATACTTTCCTAGTAGTGGGAGCAGTCGGGATGACGTGTCATGACAAACCTTTGGATGGGCGGCGGCTACTAGGAAGCAGTCGGGATGACGTGTCATGACAAACAGCGAGCGAGCGGCCTTTGGATGGTCGCCGCCACCTCCGCTACCGCGGCATCGGGGCCCTGTTTCTCCAAGAAAGGTTTTCAGTTGCCTTTTCTAGGAATGATTGCAAGGGATACCACGGACGTCGGCCTGGGACGGCTTTGGAAGTCAGCCGTCGGGAACTGTAGAACGGTCGGAGAGTCTCTTTTCGAGTCTTATCTATCCCTCTCACCACGTGGCGCTATAATAGGAATCGTCGTGCAGAGTCATGGCGACGAGAACGTTGCATGCAATGACGAGCGTACACGTGGCCGATGGGTGGGCCAAGCTGTCCGATGACGTGGCAAATATCCCGGGGACAGGTCGAAGTTACTCCTTGGCAGTTGAAGATGGGCCGACGGTAGGCAAAGCTTGGCTATGGAGGTTAGACCACGTGGAGAAGAAGAGAGCACCATGGCCACGGAAGAGGAATCCCCTGAGAGAGAGACAGAGGATAAACACGCTGGCTTTATGTCATAACCACCAAGGGAGGAGGACAAGACGTCTTTGTGGTGCTTCGATTGGCCAATTGTGGGGCAGGGACGACAACTCTTCCTCTCCTTTTCCCTTGCAAGTCGGACTTTTCCCGCCAACAAGAGAGAAGCAAAGACGGGAGGCTACGAGTTCCACGTCAGCAGTGAGAGCTATGGTGGGCGATCCTTCGTCCACGTCAGCCTTCAACTTCCACCGACGTCACGAACGGTGGGAGAGGGACGACCACTCTCCCTCTTCCTCTCCCTCCTCCTCTCCCTCTCCCGCTCCCTCTCCCTTGCAGGTGGCATTCATCAGGCCAACGAGAGAGGGACCCAGACGGGAGGCTTCGAGATGGACGTCGGCGGTGAGAGCTATGGCGGCGGGCGATGCTGCTTCTCCGGATGCGAGGACCTCTCCTTCTTCCTCCTCCTCCCTCGACAGCACAGCAACAGCGGCCCCGACGGAAAAGCCGGCGGCAGCTCTCGGTCCTGACCCCGACGCTGAGCCCGGAAAGAACTCCGGAAGGAAGGATGGGGATAAGCCACTTGCTGACGTGGCGGGCGGGGCGGGCACATTCGATTGGAGCCTCCATTGGTACGGAGTCGCGGCCGACGATCATCTAGACAGAAGGCAGCCGCATGCCATCACCGTCCTGGGCCGTGGATACGTTCTGTGGTGGGACATGTCAGCCTTCGACGACGGACAGGAGGAAGAGGAGAACGGACTTGTAGCAGCCCAACTGGGCAAGGAGAAGGAGAAAGAGCAGAGGGAGGAGCAGAGGGAGAGGGAGAGGGAGAAGGAGAAGGAGAAGGAGAAGGAGGAGCGCGGCCACGCGATCAAAGCTGCAAACCAGGGTTCCACTGGCGGGGGCACGTGGCGCGCTTTCCTGGATCGGTGTCCTCATCGACTGGCTCCGCTCTCGGAGGGGAGGATCGACGAGCAGGGGAGGCTTCAGTGCTCATACCATGGATGGTCCTTCAGCGGCGACGGGACATGCAAGAATGTCCCGCAAGACGGACCGGAGCAACGTGTGACCAGGTCGCCACGTGCATGTGCCATTACTGTCCCGACACGTGTCGCGCACGGAGTGGTGTTCCTGTGGCCGGACGAGAGCGCCCAGGGTGCTGAGCTGGCAGCCAGGTCTCCGCTCCCTCTCGATCCCGGCGCTGCTCTCCCCGGCTCCGTACGGCTCTATCTGTACGTGAGGGAGTTGCAGTACAGCTACGAGACGCTGGTCGAAAATGTGCTTGACGAAAGCCACTTCCCCTTCGCCCACCACAAGACCGCTCCAGCATTCCATCGGGACAGAGGGGGCCAAGGAGACCTCCACGTGTCATCGTTTAACGGTCGCCAAGGCTTCGCTGGGCAGTGCCGAGGCTTCGCGCTCGGTACTGCCGTGGGACATGTGGACTTCAAGGGCCCCAGCATCATCACGAAGCGCGCGGAGATACCCTTCAAAGGCAGACCTATCACCTCCATCCAATCCATTTACATCACCCCCAGTGCCCCCGGTCGTGTAATTTTCGTCTTCTCCGGTTGGACGACCCCTCCTCCGCAGGGATCAGGGGGAGCGTTGGGGGGGGTAATGGCGGCCTTACTGGGGAGGCTGACTGCAGTCGTGCGGGCTTTCCGAAATACGCATCTCTTTATGAATCGGCTCCTCGATGGGGATGCGGTGTTGCTCCACGTGGCAGAGAAGAATCTCAACAGGATAAGGAGAGAGGATAAAAAAGATTGGAACCTGGCCTACTACATGCCGGCCTCTGCTGATCGGTTCACCATCGCTTTCCGGCAATGGTTGCACAAGTACGCGGGTGGGGGAGTGAAGTACCATGCAGCCAGCAGTCCAGCCAGTGCTGCTGCCGGTACGCCTGCCGCCGACGTCGCAACACGTGGGCCGCACCGATTTAAAGATCTGGATAAGGTTATGGATAAGGTTTTGGATGAGGCGGAGTGCAAAATTTTGTCCTCTCGCGAGGTCCTGGACCGGTACAGTCAGCACACGGTAAAATGCCAGATTTGCATGGGACAGCTCAACTTCTACAAGATCCTCCAGAGAGCCCTGGCTATGGCGTCCGTCGTTTGCATCGCCATAGCCGCATGCATCTCGAGGCAGGCGGGAACTGTCGCCTTGTGTGCGACCAGTGGGGCTAACGCAGCTGCGTGTGCGACCTCGACGGGAGCAGCGGCGTTCTCGGCATCGGCTCCGGTTGTAGCTCGGCTTGTCCTGGTTGTACTCGCGGTCTGGGCCGCAATTGGGGCAGTCAAACTGGCAGATCACATCGAGGAATTCGTCTACAAGGGATATAATCACGCTCTCATCCCGTAGGGCCCTTCTCTGTCTGTGCGTTTAGGGGGGGGGGAGGGTTGGGGAGGCCTATAATGCCTTTTATTAGTGTGTACTTACTATTGTGTAATAAAAGAGTGGATACTAATTATAATAACCGTGCGAGTAGAGACCAGAACAAAGAAATGAGATTATTAGAGCACGGGGCCCAAGTCCCACTCGCATGCCAACGAGCCTAGCTCAGTTGGTACACCCACGAACTGTTCAAATACAGAGGCAAGAACGAATACAGATACAATCAGACGCCCAAAACAACATATATATATATCGTCACAAACAGAACTGCCGGGTAAACCGTAGGCAGAGAGAGAGAAGAGGACAACAAACGAGGTATATATATATATGGGCCTCGTTCCACTACCCTCGACTCGACTTGAAAAATATCTCAAGGGCAGCCCTACAGGCGCCCTTGAGCCAAAACATAATTAAAAAATACTAGAGGCCGTCTTCGTTCGACTACACCCTGCAGTTCCCGCTCGCACAAGGAGCGGAATTTTCACGAGGTGGTTACTGGTTTTGGTCCAGGGGACACGGGAATGTCCGCCTTGAACAGCGCCGCTATTCGAATTTCCGTTCGCGGCCTGCACCGTCCGAATTCGAAATTCGAATCGCAGCTGTACCAGTGGCTGCGGCCAAGTAATGGGCGTTGTAGCTCAGCTTGACAGCGCTGTGCCCCGCGTTCATGGCCACATTCATGCGCGGTGTAGCCAACCCAGTGGACGACAGCGGAAGCGACAGGACGGCGGCAGCGGAGGAAGGGACAGGGCGGCGGCAGTGGAGGAACCGACAGGACCACGAGGTGTGGAGGACAGTGGAGCGACAGGCAGCGGCAGTGCAGAAAGTGACAGGGCGGCGGCAGTGGAGGAAGCGACAGCTCTGTGCCATGCTTTCAGGGTCACATTCATGCGCGGCGTGGCGGTGCAGTGGAGGAGAGCGGAGCTAGAGGAGGGCAGCAGTGGGCGGCAGTGAGCGGAGCTAGAGGAGGGCGGCAGTGGCGTACTTGGAGCAGGGGATCGGGCCGACCTGGAGACATGCAGAGGGCATCCCTTGCTGGAGCGGCGCACCTGGTCCACGCTTGTCATCCCAATACAGCAATTGCAGAGGGGGCTTGGCTCGGAGGAGCACCCTGTGTCCACTGCTGCAGCGGAGCTTAAGCCTCGCCACGACATGTGCACCTCTAGCAGCAGCAGCGCAGTGCAGGGCTCCAGCAGCCTGGGCAAGGCTTAGAACTTCAAAAAAAAAAAAAAAAAAAAACTGCTAAGTGAGCACCTCCTGTGACTTTGAGCAGTGTGGACCACAGCAGCAGCACCACAGCGCAGCACTTGCCCTGCGGTACAACATCAGCATCAGACATGCAGGACGGTGTGAACAACGAAGAGGTTGATGCACCCATGTCGTGTTCGTCCGGTCAACGTGCGAACATGAATGATGGAGTGTTCCCTGGAGTAGGAAGACTTTCCCTGCAGCAAAAGCTAGGTGTCGTCATCGCAGTCTTGGCGGTCGTCAGACACATGGAGAAACAGAGGGAGATGGCATAGGAAGCGGCATTGGTGCGTGCAAAGAGGTTGCGGCTAGTCAGTCCATGGCCGAGGGAAGTCGTGAACAATGTCACCTTGTGGGATGGGCCGTTGCTATTGGCCAACACCATTGTCGCTGGCATCCTCCCACACCAGCCGCCAAGGTGGTGGATGAAGAGGAGGACGGGAGGGACGTCGGAGGATCTTTGTGTCCGTGATGATGCCACAGAAGAGTACTTCCATGACAAGCTGCGGATGTCGACATCTGTCTTCTATGGCATTGTGGCTGCGTTGTTGCCATATTTGCAGCGGCAGATCACTCCCTTCCGGCAACCGCTACAACCCGACCGCATCGTCGCCTATGCTTTGTATCGTTGGGCCTCAGGTGAAACATACGACAGCGGTACATCCAATTTCGGGATTGGGAGAGCCTCAGGCATAGCTGCTGTGGAAGATGTGACGAGAGCACTACACCGAGCATACCCGGACAAGATCAAGATGCCGACCGGCCGCAGGCGTAAGCAGGTCATGGACGCCTTCGAGCGCAAGGGGTTCCCCCGCTGCATGGGGGCCATTGACTGCACGCACTTGTACGTGGACAAGCCGGCAAACGCACCAGCGGAGAATTTCTGCGACCGTCACCGACAATTCTCTGTGGTGGCTCAAGTGGTGGTGGATATGGACATGCGGATTCTCGATGTCTTCGTCGGTTACCCTGGAAGTGTCCATGATTCTCGTGTTTTGCGCAACTCCTCCCTTTACAGGCGTGCGCAGGTCGGGGTCATTTTCGACGCCGACCCACTCGTCCTACCTGGTGGAGTGAGTACGCGAGGCTATGTTCTGGCCGATAATGGGTATGGTGCCCTTGCTTGGTTGGTTATTCCATATCCGGGCCAGCACGTCCCGCCGGATGAGACGAGGTTCAATGACAAGTACAAGGCCGCAAGATCGGTGGTGGAACGTGCTTTCGGGAGACTGAAGGGGATGTGGAGGTTGTATCTTCGCACTCACAAGACAAATGTGGACACCCTTCCCCAACAGTTCATGGCAGTGTGCATCCTACACAACATCTTCATCGATGCCGGGGTGGAGTTCGATGAACAGTTGTTGATGGATGTAGACGACGATGGAAATCCTGTCCCGATCGACATCGGTCTGATATCTAGAATACCCCCCATGAACATGGGGAGTCCCGCTGCACTTGCTGTGAGGACTGCATTGAAGGAACGAATGGCACTTGAGTAGGAGGACTGCATTCAAGGACCAAAGCAGTCAGTACCATGCACGGATTCTATTGTCATACTACACATATTCATATGTAAATACAAATATACAGATATGCATATGTACAGACTGAATCAAACATACAGATATACAGACTGAATCAGATATACATATATACAGATATGCATATATACAAATATACAAATATACAAATATACAGATATACACACACCACGCATATGTAAATCCAAACAAACAGATATACAGACTGAATCAGATATACATATATACAGATATGCATATA